GGGTGGGGGGGGTGGGGGGGAGGGGTCATAGGACAACATGCAGGAGTTGGCTTTCTCCTTCCACCATGCCGGGCCCGGGAGCTCAGATTCCCAGGCTCACCAGCAAGAACTTTTTCCCACAGAGCCATCTCGCCAGCCTCAAACACTCAGACTTACATCTGTCTCTGGGATGTAGCAGATGCTCAGTAACGGTTGGATGGACCTGTTCTGTCATTTTCCTTATTGAGCTATAACTTCCATTGGGCAAAGACTATTTAATGATTGAATTGTCAAGTCTTTTTTTTTTTTTTTTTGATGTAAACTGCACAAGGCTTTATTGTTGTTTAACGAGCTAACCCGATGTTAGCTCGGGCCTTTCATCCATCCACCATGGTGGATGGCTAGGAAAGACAGCTCGAAGCCTCTGCATAGAGATCTTATAGGGCAGCGTTAAGGGGAGTGTCTAGGGGTACGCACAGCCTCAGGATTGGTGTGCCTCCAGCCTTGGAGGGCTTGCCCTGTGTTGATTGGTCAACTGGTTGTTATGGCCCATAGGCCCTCCCAGGGTGGTTGCTATGCTCTGCGCATCATTGCTGTGCACTTGTCTGTAAAGCACACCCAGAGCCGTAAGGCATAGCACCACCAGCTAACTTCTGATTGGTTCCTTGCCACGAGGCAGGCATTTGACCTCCTAGTGACCAAGGCAAGGTCAGGGATTGTCAAGTTTTAATACAATATTGCACATATACTTATAATGGATAACTATCAATTAAACTGCATTGGTCCTGGGATATCCCTTGTGATTCTCCGGGCAGCTTTGTGACATCCATTATGAAGAGCAGGGGTTTAGAGAGGGGGATATTTATACAGACTCAGCCATTCTCTTTCTGGGGATCCTGGGGTATATATTTCAACTGCTCAACTCTGTTTCCCATGTGAAAGAGGGATAATGGTGACTAATAACTTAATTCTTTCAGAACCATTGAGAGGATTAAGTTGAAGGTGTTTAATGTCTAGTAAGTAATTATTATTATTGTTGACTTAGTGTCTGCTTTCTGTTTCTCATGCAGATAATTGGTTAGTTTGCCCCCCCAACCAGGACACTGGAGAATGGGAGACTTTGAGCCCTCAGTTGTAAGTGAATTCTCTTCATCAAACCCCTACCCTCAATGCTCAGGGGTTTAGGTAGAAGAGGCGTTGGAAAGAGTGTAAAAGCCGGGGGTGATGATGGATGACTCCAAGGAAGCAGTGTCTGATCCAGACACAACAGAGCCTGTGGTAGCACACACAAAGGCTTGCACAGGTTCAGGTCAGACAGGGTCCCGGCACTGAGAAGGGGAAGTGGACATCGTCTCCTACCCCTAACCAGTCTGCAACTGATACCCATTGGCAAAGGAAAAAGTCAGTTTTCTCCAACAGAGTCTCAGTGGATATGTCTAACCACACTCCAGGGCAGGCCACAAAATGAACCCAATGGTATTTTTGTAGACTTTGTGTCTCATTTTGCTTTCTTTGGGTATTTTTTGTCTCATCGGTCTTTTGCTTCTTTATTTTGATTTCCACTTTTATGGAGTTCTCTTTTTTTGTGTGTGTGGGGTTTCTTTGTGGTTGTTGCTTGTTTTAAAGAGGGAAAAGGAGTATGAAGCTGGGTCAGTAGAGAGGTAGGGGAATCTTGGAGGCGAATCTGGGGGAGGAGGAAAACATGATCAAAATATTGCATGAAAATTTTAAAAAATAAAATACATATTTACTTTTTTGTTATTTTACTGAGTCTCACTATGTATCCCACTCATGCTGTCAGCTGCTGATCCTCTTGCTTTATCCTCTGAGCACTGGGATCAGAGGTGTGAGTCACTGAGCCTGGCTTGACTGGTGTGGTGGTTGAATGGGAGTGGTTTGAATGCTTGGCCCATAGGGGGCGATACTACTGGGGGGGTGTGGCCTCATTGTAGTAGGTGTAGCCTTGTTGGAGGAAGTGTGTCACTGTGGAGGTGGGCTTTATGTATTCCTGTTGCCTTCTGATCAAGGTAATAAAAGCCTTGGCTCCTTCTCTAGCCCACGTGTCTTAATCTGGCTTACTATTGCTATGAAGAGATACCAGGACCATGGCAACATTAAACTGTGGTGGCTCACCTCGAGTTCAGAGGTTCAGTCCATCATGGTGGCAAGCATGGCAGCACGCAGGCAAGCATGGTGCTAGAGAAATAGCCAAGTGTTCTACACCTTATAGGCAACCGGAAGTTGACTGACACACTGGGCATATCCTGAGCTTAGAAACCCTTCCCCACAGTGACACACTTCCTCCAACAAGGCCATATCTTCTAATGGTGCCACTCCCTTTGGGGGCAACTTTCTTTCAAACTGCCACACCATGTCTGCCAGCACACCCCAATGCTTTCCTCCATGACAATAATGGAATAAACCTCTGAATTGCAAGCCAGTCCCAATTAAATGCTTTTCTTTATAAAGAGTTGCTGTGGTCATGGTGTCTCTTCACAGCAATAGAAAACCTAACTAAGACAGCTGGTTTTAAGTGGAAAAGATTAGCTGGTGTCATATTACCTACCAGAGATGGAGAGGGCCTGGGCTTCCTGGGTTGGGGGTTCCATCTAGAGGCCACATAAATGTGCACAATGTATACTGTGAGACCCACTGTCTGTGGGTGTTGGTGTTGGTGGGACACTCATGGTATGTGCAGATTGGCCAGTATGGTAGGCCACATACGACTATAAAAAGGCAAAAAACAGACCACTGCATGATAAGTGATGTCTTACATACAAAACCTTTGCATGCCTGGGGGCATCTCAATGTTATTGTTAAATTCCTTCAGTTTTTACATCTTCCCTGGGTTAGTTCGTACACACACACACACACACACACACACACACACACACAGAGAGAGAGAGAGAGAGAGAGAGAGAGAGAGAGAGAGAGAGAGAGAGAGAGAGGGGGGGGAGAGGGAGAGAGAGAACCTTTTCCCCACACACATACACAAACACACATAATTTTCCTAAACAATGGCATGAGCTGAGGTGACACAGAATTTTTCTGGCTGCAGGTGATCTTGTTATATTATCTCATTAGAATACATTCTTATTTATGGAACTCAAATGTAATTTACATTAGAAGTACCCTTGGAGACCAAGGTGAGTTAAATTGGTACATACACATATATCTAAGGATTCAAGTCTAGCATATGGGGGATAGAGAGTTGGCTTAGTGTTTAAGAGTACTTTTTGTTCTTTGAAAGGACCCAGGTTCGATTCCCAGCAACCACATGAAGCCACAAACCTAGTGTTCACATGTGAATGGGAACACGTGGCATTTGCCTTTCTGGTTTTAAGTTGCCTTACACTGAATGATTGTTCCTAGCTCTATCCATTTACCCAAGAGTTTCAGATTCTTTTCTTTTTCCAACTTTTTTTTATTTGAATTAGAAGCAGGATTGTTTTACATGACAATCCCAGTTCCCTTCTCCCACCTGTCCTCCCCTACTGCCCCCCCCAACTAAAACCCTATCCATAACATATCCTTTCTGCTCCCCCTGGATGGTGAGGCCTTCCATAGGGTGTCATCAGTGTCTATTGTATCCTTTGGGATATGGCCTAGGCCCACCCCTGTGTGTCTTGGCTCAGGGAGTATTCCTCTATATGGAATGGGCTCTGAAAGTCCACACCTATGCTAGGGATAAGTACTGAACTTCTACAGGAGGTCCCGTAGATTTCTGAGGTTTCCTCATAGAAACCCATGTTCCTGGGGTCTGGATCAGTCCCATGCTGGTATTCCAACTATCAGTCTGGGGAGCAAGAGTTCCCAGATATTCAGGTCATCTGTGTCTGTGTGTTTCACCAGCTTGGTCTGGACCCCTGTGCTCTTCACTCATCCTTCTCTGCATCTGGGTTCCAGTTCAATTCAGTTGTGCACCTTAAAGATGGCCCCGGTTTCTGCCTTCCACCATCCTAAGGGTGAGCGCTCTCTGGAATAAACAACTCCTTATTTGGCTTGGTCTGAGATTCAAACTTGGCGTTCTGGGGTTGACTGGCAAGAGTGCTTTTAAGCTGTGGGCTGGCTTTCCCTGGGGTCAGAAGATTGTTTAAGTTCCCTGAGTAAACTGCTTAAGGAAGAGTCTCAGCGTTGCGTCTTCCTTGCTGGTTGAGGAGGTCGCGACAAGTGGTGGCCCGAACAGGGAATTCCTCCTCTGAAGAGACTCAGAACCTTCTGCAGCCAGGGCAGTGCACTCGTACGTCCCGGGTAAGAGGGATAAAATTAAGGGCCCGTGAAGAGGGCGGAAAATCTATGGACCAAGACTAGAGTGGTGATAAAGTTTTCCTTTCTCCGTAGATAAAGAGAAAGGGGGGGAATCTTTTGTGCTGTGCTAAATATGGGCGCGTCGATCTTGCACCCAATTTTTTGTGGTCCTAAAT